TCAAGGTCATTCATTTGAACAAACTTGGTAGCCCTTCATCCCAGCATGCTACAGGCCTAATATCAGTACCCTGGGCCTTTTGGTTATTGAGAAGAAGTTGTTCGAAGATTTTAACGTATTTCAACCCCTGTGACCTTGAAAGTGGGTCAAGGTCATTTATTTGAACAAACTTGGTAGCCGGTCATCCCAGCATAGTACAGGCCCTATATCAGTACACTGGGCCTTTTGGTTATTGAGAAGAAGTTGTTTGAAGATTTAAGACATCTGACCCCAGTGACCTTGAAAGTGGGTCAAAGTCATTTATTTGAACAAACTTGGTAGCCCTTCATCCCAGTATACTACAGACCAAATATCAGTACCCTGGGCCATTTGGTTATTGAGAAGAAGTTGTTTGAAGTTTTTGAAGACATCTGACACCAGTGACCTTGAAAGTGGGTCAAGGTCATTCATTTGAACAAACTTGGTAGCCCTTCATCCCAGCATGCTACAGGTCCAATATCAGTACCCTGGGCCTTTTGGTTATTGAGAAGAAGTTGTTTGAAGATTTTAACATATTTGACCCCTGTGACCTTGAAAGTGGGTCAAGGTCATTTATTTGAACAAACTTGGTAGCCCTTGTTCCCAGCATGCTACAGGCCAAATATCATCTTCCTAGGCCTTTTGGTTACCGAAAAGAAGTTGTTTAAAGCAAAAAGTTGACGCCGGACGGACGCCGGATGCCGGACGCCGGACGCCGGACGCCGGCCGGCCGGTCGGCGGACTCCGCACCATAACATAAGCTCACTTGCCCTTCGGGCAGGTGAGCTAATAAGTCAAGGTCATGTATTTGAACAAACTTGGTAGCGCTTCATCCCAGCATGTTACTGGCCAAATATCATCACTCTAAGCCTATCGGTTATTCAGAAGGAGTTGTTGAAAGGTTTTAAACATATTTGACCCCTGTGACCTTGCATAATAACCAAGGTCATTTATTTGAACAAACTTGGTAGCGCTTTATCCCAGCGTATAACTGGCCAATTTTAGGCACCCTAGTGAACCCTGTGACCATGAAAATGGTTGAAGGTCATTTATTTGAACAAACTTGGTAGCCCTTCATCCCAGCATGCTTTTGGCCAAATATCATTACCCTAGCCCTTTTGGTTAGTGATAAGTTGTTTAAACTTAAAAGTTGACGACGGACGGACGACGGACGGACGACTGACTGACTGAGGGAAATAGCACAAACAAACCTTGACTGTCAAAATCAAAAATTTGTTTATCTGATCAGTCTCATAAGAAGACATGCACAACTGCATACCAAGGGGAACCTACATATCAAACTTGAGAAAGATCTCTCCAGTACTTCCAGAGAAATAGCTATTACAAACCTTTAATGTCACAATCCAAGACGGTGGCCTGTCAGCCATTTTGTTTATCAGGTCAGTCTCAAATTAACACTCACAACTAAAGACCGAGGGGGCCCTACATACAAAATTTGAGAAAGATCTCTAGTACTTCCTGAGAAATAGCCATAATAAATTTTCACTGTAAAAATCCAAGATGGCTGCCTGTCGGCCATTTTGTCTATCTGATCAGTCTCAAAAGTAAATAGGCACAACTAGAGACCAAGGGAAACTACATATAATATATGTGAAAGATCTCTCGGGTACTTCCTGAGAAATATCGATAACAAGAATTGTTTAAGGAAGGACATGGACGACTGATGAGGGACAGACCAAGGACGCAGGGCGATTTGAATAGCCCACCATCAGATGGTGGTAGGCTAATTAAAATTCCTTATGAGGAGAAATCAAATTCAATATAGAAGAAATCAGATTCCATAGAAGGAAATAGTGGCAATAATGTCTAACACACACAATTCTACGTTAAGCAAAACTTCGTAGTATACTCGATCTCCTTCAAACCTGCATTACCTAACCCATGTATCAAGTACATGCCTGTAACAATTTGTTAAACCTCATTGTGATAAAACGATGACTATACCTTATTTTTAACTGTCACTCGAACATTTCCCTCTTCAATGAAATACATACAGTCTGCCTCATCACCCTGTAACAAAGAGGAAACAAATTTACACAAAAAATAGGAATTCATCATTATTTTAGTTGGAACTATAGAAATATTTCAAAATGACATGAAAGTCACCCAATCTCCTGTATGTTTATTTTCAGCATAATAAATCATTGACCAAGCTACAACTGATAGATTTCCACCTGTCAATCAAAATGGTCCAACAATGACCAGGTGTTTGCATACACACTGTTAAGGTAACCATGCCAACACATGGATATAATAAGAAAGCATGTGGTTGATTTATATGAAGAAAATGTTTTATGTTTTATAAACATACAAGAGGCCCAAGGGCCTTAGCGGTCACCTGAGTTATATCATAGGTACTGGTAGCTTTATTTTATTGTTCAGATGTGATGTGGAAATCAGCATGTTAACTAAGTGAAATACAATACTTGTAATGACATCAAAGGATAAGAATTTGAAAATATTGGTAAAAATTCCCTTTGGGGCCCCGCCCTAGCCCCTTGGGATGAGGCAGGAATTCCAATTTTACAATGCAATACCCTCATCCACCAAAAAAAAAATCTGACTAAGTTTGAGTAATTTTCTGCTGAAAATGGATAAAATATACCCGAAAGTGGTATTTTCCTATGTAAACTATAGTAAACTTTACCTCCTTTTTGAAACATTGGTTGATTTTCCCTTTGGGGCCCTGCCCTGGCCCCAGGGGTTGGGGTAGGAATTTCAATTTTACAATTTTAAACCATCTTCCTCCAAGGATAATTCTCACCAAGTAGAAATAGTTTTCTATAGGAAGTTGTCAAAATATACCCAAAAGTGTTTTATTTCCCTATATAAACTATAGTAAACCTTACCCCTTCCCCAAGGGAGAACGAATAGCTCGGGGGTCCTGAAATTTACAATTTAAGTAAAGCCCCTGATGATCTTTCTTTCCATGCAGAGAAAATGACTGTAGTACCTCTGAGTCTGGAGAAGAAGATTTTTTAAATATTGGTTAATTTTCCCTTTGGGGCCCCTCCCTGGCCCCAGGGGTTGGGGTAGGAATCCTAATTTTACAATTTTGTAGCCTCATTTACCAAGGATGGTTCTGACCAAGTTCGAAAAAAATCATCCACTGCTTCTTGAGAAGAAGTTGATAATGTAAAAAGTTTACGGACGACGACGGACGGAAAGCGATCAGAATAGGTCACTTGAGCAAAGCTCAGGTGACCTAAAAACACAAACACTGCAAATATTTATTTTTTTTTTTTTTATTTCTGTGACATTCCCTGGCCTTTTGCATCCCAATTTCAAAGCCTTCCACATTCAAACAGGCCGAAGTGCCAGGATGAGATATACCATTTGTTAAAATGGGAAAAAAATGATATAAGAGATATTAGAGCAAATCATTTTCACCAAAACTAAAGGCTGATAAACAGAATAGATTGAAAGTAGGTGAAACGAAATGCGAGGAATGATTGAAAATGAAATGGAATGAGCCCACCATCAGATTATGAACTGTTAAGCCTAAGGAACGAGAGGCCAACAGCCATGTATTTCTCAGGGCAAATTACTGGGGTGCTGCTGAACCCAGTTGTCATGTTCAAAATCTGTCTTGACCAGTCCTGTAACAGACCATATATAATTCAAGTTAAATGATTAAGTCCCCCAAACTAAGTTTTTACTCTGATTCTTATTAAGTCACCCCGAACGAAATTGGGTGACTTATTGTTATTGTTCCGTTTCTTATTTATTAAGTCACCCCAAACGAAGTCTGGTGAAAAGACCTATTGTTTTTGTTATGTTTCTTCTTCTTCTTCTTTTCCCCCTACTTTTGTGGAACCTGTATCTTTTGATTGGTAGAAGATTGGTTTATACTCATTTGAGTATGTTGTAGGCCAAGGTCTGAAGATGTTACAGGAAGAATTTGAAGTAGGCCAAAAATCCAATAAGGCCGCCATGACGTCATATGTTAAAACCTTTAAAACAGCTATTACTCGAAAACCGTTGATTGTACAGAACTGGTGCAACGATATTATTTGTAGATAATTTCTATATCCAACTTTTTCTCGTTACATATTAATACAAAATATTTCGCTGTTGGGTCAAAAGTCACCATTTTTTTTAAAAACATTCATTTTTCATTGCTTTTGAAAAGTACTTCTACAGATCGATGGAGTATGTCATTCCGATGAAGTTGATATATTAAGTTTGGTTATTCAGAAGAAGTTGTTTAATGTTTTTCACATATTTGACCCCTGTGACCTTGAATATAGGTGAAGGTCATTCATTTGAACAAACTTTGTAGCCCTTTTCCCAAGCATGCTACTGGCCAAATATCATCCCCCTGGGCATTTTGGTTATTCAGAAGAAGTTGTTTAATGTTTTTCACATATTTGGCCCCTGTGACCTTGAATATAGGTGAAGGTCATTTATTTGAACAAACTTGGTAGCCCTTCACCCAAGCATGCTACTGGCCAAATATCATTTCCATGGGCAGTTTGGTTATCAAGAAGAAAATGTTTTAAGTTTTTAACATATTTGACCCCAGTGACCTTGAAAATGTGTGAATGTAATTTATTTGAACAAACTTTGTAGCCCTTCATCCCAGTTTGCATTTGGCCAAATATCATCACCCTAGGCCTTTCGGTTATTAAGAAGAAGTCGTTTAAAGTAAAATCTTGACGCCGGACAGACGGACGGACGATGCGCCACGGCATTCAGGTGAGCTAAAAAACAAAATGGCTGCCATTTCCTGGCCTATGATTGGTCAAAATTTCAATGTCAAAATCATATCCAGTAATAACATCTGTACTCTTTGATGGAACATAATGAAACTCGATGAAAGGGATGATAACGGCACAGCGCTTGTTTTCGACAACAACAAAAAATCACTTTGGATTCATTATGGCGCCCAAATGCAGGCTTCTGATTGGTTGAAAATTTAAATATCGTCTAATTTTACTGAAATTTGGTATGTAGATGAACTATGGCACTAAGAACACAACTGCGGTGTTCATTTTGTGATAAAACAAAATGGCTGCCATGTTCTGCACTCTGATTGGTCAAAATTTAAATATTGTCTGATTTTCATGAAATTTGGTATGTAGGTATATCATGGATTACCGGTCACTTTCGTAACCTGAGTTTCATGTTTCGATAAAATGGCTGCCATTTCCTGCAATCTCATTGGTCGAAATTTAAATATTGTCCAATTGTGATTAAATTTAGTATGTAGGTTAAATGTGGCACTGCGATCACAACTGCAGTTCTCATTTTGTGAAAAAATGAAATGGTTGTTTACTAAGTGAGGGAGGGGTGACTTCTGCTATTGCTTGCAATTGCAATTCTAGATATTATTATTATTATTCCGCCGTCAAAAGTCTCTGCGCTTCATCTCAGGAACTACTAATGGGAAACTTATCATACTTTGCATATATAATCAGTACAATTTGTAGTTGTGCTTCTGAGTCTTATTTTTCTGCGGCATCCATCCAAGAATGCTGCCACTGCTCTGATTGGTCAAAATCATATCCAGTTATAACATTCGTTATATTTGACGGAACATAATAAAATTTGATGAAAGGGATGATAACATCACATCGATCGTTTTCAACAAAAAATATTTCACTTTGGATTCAAAATGGCGGCCAAATGCTGGCTTCTGATTGGTTGAAATTTAAATCTGGTTCAATTTCGATGAAATTTGGTATATAGCTGAAGTATCGCACTACGAACACAACTATGGTGTCCGTTTTGTGAAAATACCAAATGGCTCCATTTCCTTGGCTCTGATTGGTCACAATTTGAATGCCAAATTCATATCACCAGTAATAACATTCGTTATATTTGATGGAACATAACTCAGTGAAAGGGATTATAATGTCATAGCGCTCGTTTTCGACAAATTGGATTCAAAATGGTGGCCAAATGCAGGCTTCTGATTGGTCAAATTTTTAATATTGTCCGATTTTCATGAAATTTGGTATGTAGGTCTATCATGGAACACCGGTCACTTTCGTGACCGCACTTTCACATTTCGACAAAGTGGCTGCCATTTTCTGGCCTCTGATTGGTCGAAATTTGATTATCGTCTAATTTTAATGAAATTTTGGTATGTAGGTGTAGTCAGGCTCTATGAACACAACTATACAGTGTTCGTTTTTGAAACAAAAGGCCCAAAGGGTCTGTATCGCTCAACTGAATATGTTTAAAATAATTGGTATAAAGTAAAGATATAGCACTCCATGGTAGGTGCTGTAAGTACATATGAAATTTCAGAAAGATCCATCCAGTACTCGAGATAAAGCGAGAACAAAATTCAAACAGAGCCACATCCCTAGGCCCTAGGGGAGGTCATTACCACCAATTATACAAAATTGAGTCCCTTGGTCCAAGGATGCTCCAGACTAAATATGGTTTTACCTTTATTTCCCCTATTGGGCCCCGCCTCTCTGCCTCCAGGGGGGTTAGACACACTGTTTATACAAAATTGGTTCCCCTTCACCAAATGATGCTTCATACCAAATTTGGACAAAATCCTGTCGTTCGTACAGAAGAAGGATTTTAAAGAATAATTTGCTATGTTTCCACTATTGGGACCGCCACTCAGGCCCCTGGGGGGCCAGACCCACAGTTTATACAAAATTGGTTCCCCTTCAACCAAGGATGCTTCAGACCAAATATGGTAAAAAAAAAAATATCCTACAGAAGAAGAAGGATATTAAAGAATTTGCTATATTTCCCCTATTGAGCCCCTCCCCTCAGACCCCAGGGGGGCAAGACCCACCGGTTATACAAAATTGGTTCCCCTTCAACCAAGGATGATTCAGACCAAATATGGTAAAAAAAAAATCCTACAGCAGAAGAAGGATATTAAAGAATTTGCTACATTTCCCCTATTGAGCCCCTCCCCTCAGACCCCAGGGGGGCAAGACCCACCGGTTATACAAAATTGGTTCCCCTTCACCCAAGGATTCTCCACACCAAATATGGAACAAACCCTTTCATTCCAACAGAAGAAGAATTTTAAAGAA